ATATATATATATACTGCACGTGCCGTACAAATGCGCGAAGGAAGTTAAAAGGGCGAGGAATTGAAGGATCGTGTCCCATTCTTCATAATTCCGACAATTTTGAAAGCTTGAAAATTGAGAAAGACAAGCTTGAAACATAGAATGTTAAGATGCAATGAAAACGTTTGCAATGCAAAAAATAAGTAACATGATTTTAAATAAGTAATAAAATTAACACTCCGTGGGAACGATTAACTATATCTTCAATTGAAAATGAAAAAACAAGTACAGTGAAAACATATTTCGATTCTAAGGAGATACCTTTTTTTTTTTAAATTGTAATAATGTGACGTAAGCTGTTTCTTTTTTTTTCTCTTTCTCTCTCTCTCTCTCTCTTCGGTATGTCTCATTCACATCTTAAATTATTGCACATCTAAAAAATTCAAGCTAACGAAATATGCAACATTCAACTGGTCTTCACTGGTTTGAAAGTGAAAACTAACTACCCTTTGTAATATTCAATTGTTATACTTTAAACTTACATACTTTGATATTTCCTGTTTTTTGTTATATATACATACATATTCTACTGAAGAAAAATTCTACTTTCAAATGTTTCCCTTCGAGTTCGTAGCTTCATCAATGGTCAAATAATAGAAAGAAACAATTACGATTCCAAAGTTATGCAATATGTTAAAAGTGTTTATGAAGCTCATTGGCGCGAAGTAACAATAACCTCACTTTATACAAGCAATAAACTTATTTACAAAAAGGTTTCAACTTTTGGCAAACGTGAATCAGCCAAGTACCAAAATATATGAAAAGGCATCGATTCGGTACACGTATTAATTTACATTGAGAGGGAGCATTGTTCCATTTTAGCAGGAAGTAGAATTTCTGGCAAAAAAAAAAAGAAGTGGTTCAGGAGGGGGCGTGAATGTCAGGAGGAGAGTCAAATACACGTGAAATTTGTAACGGAACGATACAAATGTAGAAGGGAGTAGAGTGATATGACGTACCATAATCGGGAGAATAGCGTTGATTTTCTTCACGTGGCTCTCATTCTTGTCAAAAATATTAATCGAGATACCGGATTGCTTGCCGCAAAGACGGCAGACGCGACTAGATTCGAGAGTCTCCATAACGGTACAGGGAGAATTAATTTGTCCGGGAGAATGTTCCGAAAGCGAGTGAGAAATCGCGTGCGTGCCTCTTCTTCTATCTCTTGTGATCGCCTCGAGGAGAGCTTCCGCGGCACCCTGTGACCGCGCTTCGCGGGTAATCCCCAAAAGCCCGCAGAGCGCGAACTTTCTTCTGCGACACAACCGCCGCCAGCGTACAATTCTGCGTCACGTTTCACCGTCGGGGTTCGCGCAAACGCGAACCTTCACGAGTGCTGCTGCTAACTCGACGCGACTTGTGATCGACCGGTATCGCCTCTTCAATTTCCTACCGGCGGATGAATCACTTGGCTTTTCCCCTTGACGGCCAGTATCACCGCGCTCTACAAGTTGAATGACAGGATATCACAGGATCCTCTTATTGCGCTCCCGACTCCGCACCAGAGCAGATCAATTTCAATCGATCCACCACCTACAGAAGTCGGGCAAATGGAGTTCGCCTTTTTCGTCGACGAATCGTAACTTGCTGACATCTGTCGGACCTTCCGACAAATACGTGTATCACAGACGGTGGTTAATATCGCTTGACTAGCATCGACAATTACATTCTAACCTTTCGACAAGTGACACTGTGTTATTATTGTTTTTCTTTTTTCTCTTTTTTTCTGGAAATATTGAAACTGATTTGAACTTAGAGATGGAAAACGGGACTGCAAATGATGGAAAATCAGTCGCAGAGAAACATGCTGAAAGAATGAAACGCTTGAGAGAACTCCATACGAAAAGAGTAAGCACAAAGTAATGTAAAATTGTAGTTTAACCTGAATGCTTGGATTTCAATTTCAACGTCTTCTTCTTGCCTCCGAACATAGTTTTCGAGGATAAATGTTTCTTATGGAATGTTGATTTCGTAGAACGAGGCTAGACAGCAAAATCATAAAGAAGTTGTAGAGGAGGATAAAAGGAACAAACTTCCTTCAAATTGGGAATCTCGTAAAAGGCAAGCAGAATGGATCATTCAAGATGAAGCTGCAAGAAAAGCTGCCGAAGAAAAAGTAATCTATTATAAGTACTGTGTGTTATAGAATATGTTAATTAAGTTTATACATGTGTGTGTGTGTGTATGCATATGTGTATAGTTATTTATTTAATTTATTTATATATTTTATAGGGAGAAGATTATGAGAGAACAAAATTACTTCACATTGATGCAACAGAAGCAGAACGTATAGCAAGAAAGAAAAAAAATAAAAAGAATCCAGATCCAGGTTTTTCAGACTATGAACAAGCAGCTATTCGTCAATACAACAGGCTGGTGAAAAATATTAAACCAAACATGGATTCATATAACGAAGCCAAAGAAAAGTTAGGTCCAGCTTTTTACGGGGATAGGAATACTATATTACATGGTCTGCATGAAGATAAAAAAGAAGCTGTTGACAAAATGGTGGAAAACTTGGAAAAACAGTTAGTATTTTATAAACTAATCAGTATTTTATAGCCTCGTTACAATGTCCTCGTATATTGTAATTTTTCTTGCTTTTTTTTAGAATTGCAAAGAGAGAAAAATATAGTAGAAGAAGAATGCACAATGACGATGCCGATATCGATTACATCAACGAACGTAACGCTAAATTCAACCAGAAATTAGAAAGGTTCTATGGGGAATATACGCGTGAAACAAAGCTGAATTTGGAACGAGGTACAGCTATATAATAAGTGAATATTATACTAAAGGACTTACTACAAATATCTTGTATTTTAAATAGTATTTCAAAACTCATACAAATAGAATTCAGGCTACTGATAAGTCGTTGATTATCTAGTAATTAGAAGTGCAAATGGTACATTTTGCAATACGATATTTACCAATTTTAAATCTGCATTCATTGTTAAAAAATCAAATTATATATTGATTTCGTAAATAAAAAATTAAACTCAATTAAGTTATTCAAATTTTGTTGTCCTTCCCCGATATGTTGGCTGCAACTTTTTATTTAATTTAAATAATGATTTTATATACAGTTTTCACGTTTCTAACGTAGTTCACATCATACCACCCAACTATGCACTATCCCTGAAAGAGAAGCAAACATTTTTCGTATCAATTTGATATCTTCATCCCTGGATTAACGTTACATCTAAAAAAAAAAAAAAAAAAAAAAAAAAACAGGATAAAGACAAAAAGAAATATACTCACGGCTTGGGGAGAAGTTATGATGATGTGTGACTCGTATATGAATATCTTGAGTTTCGCCTGCAAATCGTATATTATACATTTACGTCTTGTATCACGGTTAATATATTTATAAATAGTCTTATTTAACAATATTAATATTTACAGATTCGACACTTACCAATTTGCGATTATCAATTCGTTGAACTAATTAAATGAATTAAACTATTAATAATTAGAAAAAAAACAACACTGAAACATTGCTAAATTAGACATGCTAAGATTAATTAAAATTCACAAGTAGATTTATTTAAAAAAAATTCCAGACATCCATGCGTTCCATTTAAGTACATTATAAACCTGTTTTATTTATTCATCACATAGTCGTTCCTGCGGTCCTCGCAATTTTCTCATTTAGGAACAAGTATTTTACAACAGGAAATATAACCTTTGATTGCACACGTTATTATATTATAGTACCGAAGTACTTATGCATGTTCCATATTTCGCCAAATATCTTCTTTGAAAGATATTTATCAATTTATAAAATTATGTCACAGAAAAAACATGCTATTAAGGTACTCAAGTTTCCTCTACCCCAGAGGTGGCGGAGGTGGCGGAGGTGATGTATCGATGTTCAAGCGTGTTAACGAGGTCGTAAAGTCGTCTATCGATTTTCCAGAAGTCGTACCTGTGTTTCCGTGATCCAACAGCCTCGGCATGTCGCACTGCTCGCATTTATTCATTAATGGATGATTGTCAAACGTGCACATTCTGCAGACCCAAGAAGGTCCATCTCGTTCTTCTCTGTCACTGTTGTTACCACTCGATTCCGGTTGCCAGGCGGGTGGCTGACTTGGCAGAGGCGGTGGATTGGAGTTGACAGACCTCGATGGCAAAGGCTGACCCGTGTAAATACGTTGATAAAACGTTTCGTTCGTCTCGCCCAAAGGTACTGAAAAAAGTGAAATGAAAGAATAGAATTTGGCAAAGTATAAAAATTTTGAATGGAAAGGGAAGTCATAATGAAGCTATTACCTCTTGGATCAGACCACTGATCTACCTCATCCGCGAGTCTGTCGCATTCAACCTGCAGTTGATAAATCTCGCTTCTCAACTTTTTTTTTAGCTCCTACAAATAATTACATAACATTTGGTACGTTTTAGGCATTACAAATATTATATATATATATATATATATATATATCGGGATTACAACACCTGAGGAGGCATCGAAGAATCAAAAGGTCTCGTGAGGGACTGCAATTCTTTTTTCATCGCTTCGAGTCGTCCTTTCTCGGCTCTCAATTCCCTGGCGAGTCTTTCCTTTCTTGCTAATTGCTCTGCGACCAATTTCTTTTGATGCTCCGCCACTGCGATAAAAAAAAAAAAAAAATTGATATCGTATTACAGTGAAAGCAAATATAATGAGATCAGAATAGGAGCTTGTTTTATTCGGGAATGCATATTGTTATTCTATTTCTGACCGATTTTACAAATGTTCAGCTGCCAACAGTGATTGCATCGGTACAAATTAGCCTCGGCTCGATGCCTGTTGACGTTTTATTTCATTGCGTGTAAACGATTAAAGCGGAAACATGAAATGTGAATTGTAGCGTTCAGGAAACGCGTCAACATCGAGACGGCGCTGCTCGTGAGAGGGAAAAGCAGATCAGGTGGTCCACGTAGAGTAACCGCAAGCGTGGCTATGTATAGACGGAGCGTGGGGTCAGGAATGCGTAAATATCGTTCTCAGTGTTACATGCGTGGGAGTAGTATGTGCGACGCGGAGTGGTTTTTCGCAGGTAAATATACGTGTACGCGATTCCCACAATATGAGAATTCGGAAAACAATGGGGGCCATCATTTCTCTGGTAACGGAAGCAAATACACGGCCAGAAATAAAAATAGCCAGAGCCTAAAACGTTATTTTCAAAGCTCGGTAAGATACACGTAAGGGGTAAGGTGAGACTTCACCTTGATTCAACGGCGATTGATTTTGATCGATATTGGCCGATATCCGTTCACCAATGGGACTGGAGGGCGGCGAGGTCGTCGTCGGTCCTGACGGTGTCGTTGGAAGGCTAATGGGATGGACGATGTTCGTGGTCGATGGTACAGAAGGTGTGGTCGGGGCGCTCATTGTTGTCGTGGGCCTCGGTAATTGACTAGGTGGTCCTGCTGGAAGACCTGTAACAAATGTTCAAATTTAAGTTAGACAATTCAATCTCAATTGGAGATGTTGAATAGTTCCAGCTATTAGACGTAGATTCGACTAGATTTGCTTGCAGAGAACATAAAACACAAACCTGGTGGTCTTTGAGGACCGATTTGTACCGGAGGTATCAAACTGTTGGGCCTGATAGGGCCCATCGGGGGTCGGATTCTTGCAGCCGCCACACCGCCAACGGCTCCGGCACCGATGCTGATCTGAAGACGGCTTTGAAAGCCCCGAGGATCCAGAGAGGAGCTCGAATAAGTCAGGCTTGAACCCTGCGATCTGATGTCGATCGGCGGCTGTGGTTCCGAGGATGGTGGCCTCAGCGTCAGGCTGACCGAAGTGTAGCTTCGTGTGTGATCGATCTGCGGCCCCGTCGTGTTCTCCGCGTTCAACAATGGTTCGGCATAATGATGTCGTGGATCGAGGAGCAGATCGCTTCGTTTACAGGCACCACCGATCGTAGGCACCGTTCGAAAATCTAAACCATCGTCATCGGTCGAGATAGAAAAGAAAAAAATGAATATACTATGAATATAATGAATAACAAATTACACACGAAGCTCAAGTAAATTAAATACGCGATCGACGCGATTACAAGGCGTAAGATCAAAAGAAGTCGACGGCGTGTAGCAACGGTCGAAACGTTTCGTACGATTAACAGACAAACAGGATATCTCAGGCCGCAGAAGGCCACGACGTAACGTGATCAAAATTGATATCGCTGCCATCGCTGCATGCGTAAGAAACCTGTTTAACTCTTCCATGAATATAAAATCACGGCACATTCGAACAACGTGATTACACGCTGCGCAACTGTGTGAAGGTACTAGAACCAAATTTATCACCGCAAACAATGTTGCAATCTACTGTCACCGACTTTGTGCGATGCGATTCTAACTCGTCGAGTAAATAGATTTACACACCTTGACAGCCTATTATTTATTTACGTAGACGTTCATTCATATTTCACCCGATTAAAAATAACAAATTCATTGCAAGAAACCTGCCTGACCTTGGTCCATCCCCAGTGTCATCCACTGTAATTAATTCTATCTCTTATAGATAACATTACTCCAATCGCTTATCAATCAAGACTTGACACAAGCAGAGCTCCCCCGTACGTCTACTGAATAATATCCATTCATTCGTTTCGATTTCCCCCTATTCTCGGGTAATGAAACGTCGAAGGTGGATGCGTACCGCGATTGCCAGCAGGACTGCAAGCAACGTTCACGTTCAGCTCGAATCCGGCTGGCTCGTTTCCTGCGTTCTGCACTTTGTTAAGGGAGTTCGCGTCGCTCGGCCCTGTGCAATCGTCGAAGAAACCGCGCGTCGTGCAGACAGCAGGCGCTGAGGAAGGCGTGTTGTTGGCCGAGTTAGCGGCGATCGGCGACGATGCTGATATCGCAACTGCTCGTGTACAGCTGACTGGACAGCGCCGTGCCATACCGATGTCCAGCGAGGCTGGTCTGTGCGGTCGCGTATTGCTGCTCGTGTTGTTGTTGCTGTTGCTGCTGGTGTTGATGGTACGCTGCAGTTGGTTCATCGTGCAACAACGTTGTTGTTGCTGCGTTGTGGCTACGTGGTTCGCTCGTTGATGATGTTGCTGATGCTGAAGGACGGCGCAAAGTGTCGCCGGTGGGAACGCGCCCGGAGACTGTCGTGACTCTTGAGTGGCACGAAGACTTCTCGCGCATGTCTCCCGATCGTGGCTGTTCTGCAACGCATAGATGCACCTTCGGTCAACATGATTTCCGGTCATCACTCTCGAGCACACCGGAAGGGTTCTTTATTTATTTCATTCACTTTTCGGTTTCTTTAACTTTAGGAAATGCTCTTGCCTCTCCTGGATCCTAACGAAGGATCCTGACAAACAAATTGCTGGCAATATTCGTAGGGCAGACACCTCCTGGAAGAGTGATGCGAGTTAACCGAGTTTTGGGTTACCGAAGGTACGAGCGGCCGACTTGCTTCCGGTTTCAAATCCCGGGGTATAAATCTGTTGTGAGTGGAGGTTGTTTGGTGCGAGAAAGATAGACGGCAAAGGGTTAAACGGTGCTAGGCTATTTCGCGCATATCCTTGGATGGTTTTTGTTGGATACTGGAAGATTCTGGGATTTTCTAGTCTATGATGGACGTACTGTAAGTACGTATCGCCTCCTTCAGTTAAAA